CTCAGTCTTATCTGGATTGTTAAAAGGTATGAAAAAGGCAAACTCATAAGAAATAACATTTATGTGATGAGATGTGGTCTTGAGTGTTTTCTTCTTTCGAAGGTCTGCCACCGGGTTCAAACATAATCTGATTCAGGATGAGGATTGCTTTCAGAGTTTTTGCAACAAGATCTTTGCTGGCTGGGATTTCTGCATCACCAGTGAGAATGCTGCAAAGCTGAAGAAAAAGACTTTGCTCTATGAGCTGAAGGTTAGTTTATACATCAGAAGCATGATTGTAAAACTGGCTAGTCAAAACAATGGCCAGTTTACAAATTTGTTTTAAACTAATTTGAAAAAAATGGGTGCTTACATGGCACCCCGGCAGCTACATACCGTTACTCTAAAGTAAAAATAAGATGTGCATTTTAATATAATCTACTTTTATGGCTTTAGTGACATTCAAGGCCCCAGTTCCCACATGCCTTACTACCGGGGTCACATGCTAATCAGCGGTATTCTGTGCTATCATTGGTAGTCGCTTCAAATCCTCACTAGGAAGTTAAAATAAATTTATCACAGGTCCCGCCTGTGGCCACAGTGCCACCAGTTATTTAGCCTCTAACCACATGAAGTCACCGAATGTCATTCACTTTCTATTGTCCCTGGTTGCCACATAGCTGCCAATTGTTTTCAGTGTGGATGCAGCTCTACCCTGTACCTGTGTCCTGAAGGTAGTAGTTCATATGCACCTTAGAGAGGGTGCAATACATCACTGAGAATTGCTTACACTTGTCCCTTGATGTTCCTTAAAGTAAAGTAAAAGCAAAATTTTATTTATATTGCACCTTTCAAGATAAAAATCACAAAGTGCTTCACAGAAGCTAAAACATAAAAATAAAAATCAACCAAAAGCGAGTTTAAAACAACAACAACAACAAAAAAAAACTCATTAGTCTTACTGATGAGTCTAAAGTAAAGAAAATTAATAATCAAACACCATCATTTTGTTGTCTTGCCTTATTTTAAAATACATATTTTTATATCTTTAGACTGATTTGGAGGATGAGAAGATCAAGCAGAAAATAGCAGAGCGCACCCACAAAGAAAAATGTCGGCTTTACTTCATCCGTCTCATCCTGAATCTTTTCGTCATTGGTGTACTGGCTGCTTGCTTCTACTGCATTTATTTAGCCACTATCTTCTCCCAGAAAGCCCAAATGAGTGACCAAAAGGTAAGACAATTTTTTTAAATATTTTTTCTCTCCACCTGCTTTGATTCAACCTTTATGTAGAAATTTCTGGTAAATGTTGGCAACACAGGATAAAAGGTATTTGTTGTTTCTCCTCTTTTGCAGGTGAATTTCATAGTAGATCTTATTTTTGAGTATCTACCTTCAATTGTTATCACCTTTGCCAACTTCATTACCCCAGTACTTTTCTCTTTTATCATCAACTTTGAGGACTATTCTCCTGCTTTTGAGATCCGCTTCACTCTTATGAGGTAAAATAGAGTCTTGTGTTTTGACCTGCTTACTCATAGATGCAGATTTGAACTTGAAAGTATTTCTGATTTGCCTTCTTTCTTCCTATCCTCACAGGTGTGTCTTCATGCGGTTAACCAGTATTGTGGTTTTGCTCTTTTCTGTCTGGTCTCGGATCACTAAATGTAAAGATGATCCCTGTATTTGTGGCTACAACCACGATCTTTACCCTGTAAGTAATCCTCTTTTGCCATAATGTAATATACAGTGGTTTACAGGGGTAGTGCCACAGGTACCAGTGTCAAACTCATTTGTATCTTTGCATTAGCTGTTATACAGTATATTCCTAATCACCCTATAAAATACATTTCTTAAATCGTGACATGCATGTATGGTAAAATCCAGTCTCTATATCCTTGTTGCTGTCGACAGTGCTGGGAAACGCATGTGGGCCAAGAGATGTACAAACTCACCATCTTTGACTTCATTGTCATCATTTCCGTCACCATCTTTGTGGAGTTTCCTCGAAAGTAAGACCTCATTTATCCACAGTAGAAAAAAAAGTACAGTTCATCTAGTTTTGTGATCATCTCATGACATTTGAAGAGGTGTAAACATGTCACCTTCATAAAAGATTAAGAATCTCTAATGTAACAGTTACAGGAGCTGACTTGGACTACCGTATTTTTCGATAGTGCGCCTTATAATCCGGAGCGCCTTATGTA